TACAGATTTCCCCGGCAAATCCACAAAGGTGGGACCAATAAATCGTCCGAGTTTACAAAGTTTACACAGGAAATCTGATCCAGGAAAATGTATTGATTTATTAGAAAGTTTTGACTAGTAAGCAAGAATATGACGCACCGCCATTGTTGAGGTCGGACGTGGCACGATACCAGAGTGTACCCAGCAGTTTTTAATCTCGATCTTCTGCCCAATTGTGAGGCGGACGTACGTGCTCTTGGCCTCTTGTCTGTTCTTGGGTTGCGAGGGCATGGTGAAACTAGTAAATGGCGGCACCTTAGTACGTGTAGGTAGGCACTGCAATACATTATGTTCATCCTGAGCCTTTCATTGCTCCTGTAATGCAGCAACTTGCACATGCATGGCATTTCCTGCGAGACGACCCATTCCTGCCAAATTTAAATTAATTCAGTACGCGTCCTGTCTAGTGCTGCCCATCTCTCTTCGCGTCTGACCACTGACTGCACGAGGAATATCAACGACTGCAGTTGTGGATTTGCTGGGGAAATCTGTAAAATCCAGAGAATTACTGACATTTTTAACTAAAAGTCGACGGTATTTATTTGTTTACGATGCGATATTTGTCCATCTTGCTTCTGAATTGGATGCGGATGTCTGTCGCCTCCGTTACAGCGAATTCAACAAGGCGCGTGGCGCTGCTCACGGATGTGGAAGGCAACTGGCAGTACGTGCGCAACGTAGTGCGCCAATCGTCGTGTCTGCAGCTGACAGCCAGCGGCCAGGAGGAAACGCTGGAGCTGCGCGACGACTGCGTGCTAGTGTTTGGAGGAGATGCGGGCGACAAAGGAGACTACACACTCAAGTAAGCGAAATAAAAATTAACTTCACGGGTTTGGGATATTAACCATGAGGGTTCGCTACTATAGATGCTACGAGCAGCTTGTGCATCTCAAGGAGAAGCATCCTGATCGCGTCGTGCTGCTCGTGGGAAATCGCGACGTGAATAAGATGCGGCTAACGTCGGAGCTCAACGATACCGAGATGGACCTGAGTTTTATGGCCAAAGGTTGGTGCTCTGCAGAAGATATGCTGGAGTATTAGAGCGCTTGATACGAACATTTTAATGTAATGCAGAAATTTTGGAGGGCCCGACGTGGGTGCCTCAGGACAAACGCGTAACATTGAAGAAGTTCTTGGAAGATCAACACAAAGGTCAAGATGGGGCTCCTGGGAAGGAAGTGGTTAATACCAAGGTGAACCGGCTGAAGTGGATGCTGGAACACACAATGGGAGCTCAAGGCGATTTTGAGAGACGCCGCGCTGAGTTGAAGCTGCGTCAAGAAGTTGGTGACGAGAAGGGGGTGACGGATGACGACGTTGTCAAGTCTTATCTGGATAGTGTCAAGGAAGGCGGGGTACTGCGCGAGTATTTGCTCCACGGCAGCCTGGCATTCGTGACACACCAGACTCTGTTTGTGCACGGTGGTATTATTAACGAGAACAAGGACGCCAGCTTGTCTGCTCTTGGTCGAGTGCCAGATGAACCGTCGAAGCACTTTGATTCGGTTTTGGAGTGGGTGGATAAGCTCAATGCCTGGTATCGAAATCAAGTTCAGGAGTGGATCGACCTCCCAACGTGGAATGAAGACCACTCTTCACGCGGCGGCAACGAACTGCTCAATTACGTGCTGCCAGATTACACCGGTAGTGTTGTCATGGGCCGCCACCTTTTGCCGTCAGGGATGCCGACTCCGATACCGGCAGAGATTGCATCACTGCTTTCTGAAAGTGGCATTCGACGGGTGATTATTGGCCACACACCTCATGGCAATTGTCCGACCGTCGTGAAGCAGCCCAGACACCAACAGGATACTTGTGTAGCAGACCGCCGAAGCAATGTCGAAGCTTTTGAAGATGTTATCATGTGTGATACAAGCTACAGCGACGCTGGTGCACCAGATAACAGGGGCCGTGCTGCAACGGAAGTGGTGGTGGAACCCTCCGGGCGCGTGCTTGTGAATGGCGTTCTGGAGGACGGACGACATATCAAGTATGACCCAGACGAGGATCCATGGGTTGGTCGTTGGCTGCAAGACGGAACAATGGTGAAGGCTCGTCTCGTCGATGACGAAGCAAGTGAAGAAGCATCATATCTGGTTTTCCAAGTGGAGAATGGATACTCCTATACTTATCACTACCGCACGGCCTCACAACTGCTAGAAATTGGTCTGAAAAACTGATCTTCGGCTTTAAATGTTTTTGACCCAGCAAAAATAGCGCTAGGATCAGCAAATACATTTCAGTGCATCCTTAAGCAGTCCGGCAAGAATTATGACTCTAGACACGTTGACTCGTGCGCAGGCAGAGGTGAGCCACGATCGCCTTAAAAACTCGCTCGTACAGACATCGCAGACATTCCGCGATCATTTCCGCAGCGAACAGGAGCTTTTTCGAACGATTTCTGTCGCTGAAATTGGATCCAATCCGTCAACTAGCCTTGGTACTACATGCAGGCATCACCCAATACCGTTGACAACGATGGTGGTGTCTCCGGCGCTTGAAGAGGATATTGTGCGACTCGAGAGACTGAATCAATGCTGCAAGCGTGTGCGGATCTGGCGGCGGCAGGTTACGAACCCGCTCTTGCAGTACAAACAACAACAGAATTTCAGCGGGAAGGGAAGTACTGGAGGCGCTTCAGGCAGCATGATTGCACCGAAAAAAACAGAAAGACGAATGCACGCGAGTTTGCTCATGTCAATGATCGTCGATATGTACGAGCAGCGGATCCTTAGTGAGGTAGAAGGAGCTGCTCCCGTTGACACCTCGACTGATGCGACAAGTGGGTTATCTTCAAGCGTGATTAGTTTCCAAGAGAGCTTTCCAGAGTTCGTAGTGCGCTTTCTGTCGCTAAGATCGTCAAATCGGCGTCTCGCGGTTGATCAACTGCATAGCACAATTTCAACCGTGCTTCATACTGCTTCAAATCACGCACGCGTTCGGGTGTTTAGCTCTCTTTGCGGCATCGACGACAAGTTTAACCCACCCGAGAAAATCAAAGTGTTTCTTCACATCTTAGAAAATCTATACCGAAGCAAGTTGGCTGCCAGTATCGGCGCATCCGGTGCAAATACCCCTCGTATCGAGGAAATCGCTGCCACCGCACCGTTGGCTGATGTTGTTTTCCATAACGTTGGGATAGCGCAGAACGTGGCGCAGCAGGTTATTAGCGATCTCTTTAGAGATAACTTCTACTGGAATTTCCGATTTTGGATAGTTCCATGCACAGAGCTGGGTGTGGACTGGTCATGGCCTGCTGGTGTCTGCGAAGAGCTTCAGGAGCGCGCACTCTCGTTAACTACAGCGTCGCGAAATACGCTGCTGAATGCCAATCGCAAAATCGACGGCGATGCCTTTTTGGAGCTGCTCCTCGATGACTGGACAGCTCGTGCCAAGCAACTCTGCGCTCTGCTAGAAACTGCAACAGATCTTGAAGAGAGTGCAGGTCACGAGTTGCTTCTTTCGCGCCAAGTGACGCAAGATTCGCGTTTGCAGTACCACCCCACTTCGGATGAGGAGCGTCAACTCTTTGACCAACTAATCGACAAGTACTGGAACGCACCAGTGCCTTGGTCTAGCGCCAAGTTGCAAGGTCGAATTGCTACGTTGACGCCTCACAGACCTCTGACCCAGCTCCAGCAGCTCTACGCAGTCTACATAGCTGAGCAACCACAGTCCCGACGTCTATGGGAATGGAGCAATTGGCGCTGGGAAACGGAGTGGGAATGGGGAGCACTCGTGCTAAAATGATGACCTTAAATGAGACGGGTGCCACGAGCACTTTATATTTTAATGTATCCTTTCAATATAGAAATCGAGAGGTTTAGAATCGGGCTTAGTGTCTGAATCTTCTTGTAGAAGTAACGACTTACTTGATCCGTTCCAGGTAATGATTACCGTAATCTGAGGTTGCAGGCTGCAACAACTTGTCTTGCTGTTGCAAAAAGCTGCTTCAGTATTATTGTAGCCATCACGAATTTCGTGATACGATGCCACGGTAATGATCTGCTTGTTGTTCGGGGTGTCGACACGACTCGACACGGCTTGTGTATGGGGGGGGGAACCGATTCGGTTCCCAATGCGGCCATGCCGTTCAGCGGCTGAATCAGCCAAACGAAATCCCTGGATGGGGACTTGTCGTTCCACTGCTTCATGTACTGTATTGGCCAGCAAATCGTAAGTAATCAGCCAGTGGGGAGGAATTTTCATAAATCAGTAGCTCCTAACTGTTTTTGTACGTGCCACACCAATTTGACTGTTTTCGGTTACAAAGATTTTCTATTGTACGTATACAATCGGAGTGTATGCTCTCCTTCGGTATCCAGGTAGTCGATAAAGCACCAAGATAGTCTCCAGCATCTTTGTGCTCTTCAGTGAACAACCTTTTCATCATGATTCACGTACAGGAGATTCATGTTAGTGCAGAATTGTAAGCCAATACTGAATCGATACACTTCAGCGCCACGATGATGATGATGATGGTGTAAATTATATGGGAATCCGTTTAAACTGTCAACCGGAGCCTAATCAGTACTGGATAAGTAGTAATAACAATGACTCAAGTCGTAGAGGCAATGGCTCCCTTCGAGTGCAACCGGATTTGACAGATATAACTATGACTCAAGTCAACCTCGCAAGAATTAGAAATCATTCGATATGGCGTATATTTCACTTTTAACCTTCCCAAGTTAAATAAAGAGTTGTCGGATTAGTGCTAACGCGCTGGTATTAAAGTTGCTGCAGGTTTTGCCCAATATATAATTTGTACGGAGCCCTTCTTGGACGAGTTGTATTCACTCCATATTGGATGTTACTCTACATGGTAAACCCGCAGAGCTACGATGCTCGATTTACAGAAATGCGTATATTATTGTCAGCTAGATTACAATATAACGCACTTAACAGAAAATAATAAAATTGATGTGGCATGCAGAAAATCAGTAGGAAGTTACTGATTTAAAGAAAATTCCTCAGACGTTGAGTCATGCATGCTCTGCCGACTGGACCACATGGGAGGCGAATAACGCTTGTTGTGCCATAAACTCCCTGGCAGCAGAGATTTGGTATCGCGGCAAGACACAATTCATTTTGCCATTGGCTAACAAAACCCCACGTGCAGTCTCCTGAAGATGTTTGGTGGAAGAGCTTACTTGTGGGCCTGTGCTTTGGTAGCATTTGCGTCTTCCAGCTTCGTCGTTGATGCTCAGTCGACATACGACGCCATCGTCGTCGGCAGTGGACCTGGTGGTCTTGTTGCAGCAGAGTACTTGTCGCGCGACCCGACCGTCTCCGTGCTGATCATCGAAGCCGGCCCCAAATCTCTCATGGCTACCGGCGGCACCGTTGGCCCCGACTACGCTAAGGGGCAGGGTCTCAGCACCTTTGACATTCCTGGAGAATACGAGAGCATCGCTTGGAATTCGCAGTTTTCGCAGTTCCGCGTGGACTGGATCTCTGGCTCCAATTGGCTCGGCAAGCTCGTCGGTGGTTGTTCATCAATCAATGCTGCGCTGTACTTCCGTCCTCCGAATGACTACGTGACCAACACGCAATGGCCGTTTTCGGCGGCCTCCATGATCGCCAAGATGGATGAGAATGAGAAGACCCATGGAGTCACAGACAAACCCTCGCCGGACGGCGTGTGGTACACGCAGGAGGGCTACAAGGTCGTCGCTAAGGCGTTCCTAGGTCAAGGCTACACGGAGAAGACGCTCAATGATGCTACGGCCCGCAACAACAAGAACAAGACGTTCGGTCATGCTCCTTTTACTTTCAAGAATGGCCGGCGTGACTCCCCTGCCAACGCTTTTTGGGGCAAGATGAAGACGCGTACAAACGTAAAGCTCCTTACGGACACCAAGGTTGACTACGTGTTGCACTCGGCCGGCAAGGCAACGGGTGTGATGTATGGTGGTACCAAGGCTCAACTTTCGTCGCGCGGTACGATTATCATGGCTGCCGGTGCATTGAGCACACCGAAGGTGCTTATTCAGAGTGGCATTGGCCCTGCTGACCAGCTCAACATGCTTAAGGGTAATGCCAACTTCCCCGGTCTCTCGCAGGGCGATTTGATCATCAACCCTTACGTTGGTCGCAATCTGTTCGACACGAACATGGTCATCCCTTCGTTCTCGCACCCAGACATGAAGAGCTTCCGCTACCGCGACTACCCGTCATGGGCCCTCGATCAATACATAAACAAGAACGGCTCGGGTCCCTGGAGCAGTTCTGGCCCAGTTCTTATCGGCTATGAGAACTTCCAGGTGCAGGGCCGCCAGTACGAGTTCCAGACCACGGTTCTCCCCCATGGTTTCGGCGAGTTCGCCAAAAACGACAATGCGCTGTCGATATCGCTGTACGTGAACAACCCGGAGTCCCGCGCGGCTTCCGGTTTCGACAGCAACGGTGCATGGCAGCCGTTCAAGGAAGGCAGCGTGTACTTTGCTACGAACCGCGATCTGATCGCGATGCAGCAGTACGCCCAGCATGTTGTGAATGCCATGAAGGCCCAGGGTGCTACATTCCTTTCGGGCGCTTCGGACCCGGATGGTGTGGCGAGATGGGTCTCATCTAACCGTGGACTCGCAGCGCAGCACTTTGGTGGAAGCTGTTACGCCTCGAGCGACTCGTCCGCGGGATCCAAGCGTTGTGCAGACAACAAGTTGCGTGTGTTGGGCACAAGCAACATCTTCGTTGCCGACGCCAGCGCCATGCGTGACGGCACGGTGAACCCGTACGGTTTTATTATGTATACCGGCCGTGAAGCTGCGGGCCAGGCTGCCAGCTACATTTCCACTGGTGGTGCTGGTAGTGCGTGGGCTATTCAGAGACCGGCGCCGGGTGCCACGTGCGGCAAGATCGAGGAGAATGTCGATTACGCTGGTAACGACGTGGGCAACGCCAGGAGCAGCAACGCGGAAGGCTGCTGCGCCATTTGCCAGACCTCTGGCGGCTGCAAGGCCTTCACGTGGACGAACTACAACGGCGGCACTTGCTGGCTTAAGAGCGCCAAGGGCGCTGCATCAACCAACTCAGGAGCACGCTCGGCACAGCTTAACTGAGTTACTTTTTCATCACGAAACGTTTTGACAAATTGAAAAATGTAAATGAACTTGAGACGAGAAAGCATTTTTTTTCTGCCTAGCTGAGCGACTTCCTACGGTGTCAACTGGCTGAAAGTGCTTTAAATCCGGGAAGCTGGATCACCTGTAAGGTACCAAATGGTACTAGTAGTAGTAGAGTGCGCTGAGAATGTACGTGGTTCTCAATTCATCCACCCGTGGTTCAGTCGACTCAATGTATACCCAGTTATGTCCATTGTTGTTTTGGGCAATATGCTGTTTTAGTTTGGGGGATTGAAGCGGCTATTTATGCAGTATTTGTAAAATGTTGACCTCTATTTGCAAGTTAAATGGGGATGGGGCAAGACAGTGGACCGCACTGAAATCAACATCGGATCAACACAAACGGAGACCCGACTCATTTTGATGATCTACTTTTTTTAGCGCTTGCATGGCCTCCATGCAATACAAACAAGAGCTGTACACATTGAGAAGTTGTGGCGGTTTGATTAAATTCGTCTTCTCGTGGGTCTATATTTAGTTCCAAAGGCGAATACGTTGTCGGCGGATTGGGGGGACTGAGTAGCAGCGCATCAGAGGCGCCATCCCCACGCTCGACCAACGAATAACTTCGTGACTTGACAGCCGTGTAATAATACACATTGTCTGCGTGCAATGTGAAGACCAACGGCTCTTCACAGCCGCAGCAGCAACTGCAGAACTGAGGGTGAAGTAGACGATCCTACGACTGGACGATCCGGTTCATCGCTTTTGTAGACAATGTTGCGACCCGTAAGAGCTCTGCGCGATGATAGCGCCGCACTTCAACGACTTTGCTCGTTGCTTTCGCGAGCAGCGCTAAACTTGGTGATCCATGTGAGCAGCAAAAAGATCGCTCCAGGCAAGTGGTACCCTAGTCCGCGTGAAATGCGACAAAGTGCAGCTAGTCAGTTCAGCAATATCATACCGAACACTAACAAAATAAGCTCTATTTATCATGCCCTCTTGGCTATAGTGCATGTAGCCTGATAACGCACCGCTACATCGAGCTGCAACAAACCCAGCTCCGGCTTGAAGATTGCAACGTCACTTCATTAATTAGTAACGTCTTGCCGCAGTTTTATTCGCTTCTTGTCCCGCATTAGCTCCTCATTTGCACAGAATACAACAACGAAAGCCACAGAATAGCAAGGAAGTGCCCGAGTTTATTCCGCACACGTAGCGCAAGAGATCTTTAATCTCATTGGAGCTACGACGACGGCAGTTGTATCTGATAAATTCGCAGACAAAGTTCCTTGGGGGTGATGGCTAGAGCGGTGGTGACACGATACACAAGTATATGTAGCTAGTCACTTCCATCCGAACACGTAAATGAGATGGTTGTGCGATCGTCGAAAAGTATCATAAAGAAACCGCACTTCCCGCCACCCTCGCACGCGTGGACTTTGTTGATACTGTACAACATCTAAGCGGTAAACATGGTCCATCCGGTGATCGTTGCAGCACCGCGATCACGTCACACATAAAATGTCAAAGGGAGGAAGGTACTTCATGTAAAACAGCTCTATACATGTGAAGGCTACCCCGCTCAGGGTGCCTTCTATAATGTTAAATGCGACCAGCCCCACTTTTCTACTTTTGCCGACGGCTCACAGCAAACAATTAGATTCGCAGTTCCGCACTCATGTGCACCGTTTCTGTGGCGATTTTTAGTTTGGGTTTCTGTCAGTATGTCAATTTTGACTGAATCTTTTGAAAATACTCATTATACTTGATTTTTGTATTTCTCAGAATTTGTAAATTACATCTATGTAGCAAGAATTCTCTAGAAATTACACTTAATACCCTCTATCTGAAACCGCACCGCCCTCTTGTGGCCTGCTCGCTGTCTACACAGTGAGAAAAAGAAAAGCTCCAGCACAGAGCGAGGAAGCCGGCACGCTCGGCCTGCACGCGTCTGAGCGCTCCCTCCTCCGAGTCCGTGCGTGTCCATCTGACCCGTGGCTCTTTCCTCTCTCGTTTCGCGGCGTTCGCTCCCTCTGAACGTCCCTACAGCCCGCGCTGTGCCCGCTCGTGTGCGTCTAGTCACAGCGCTGCATCTGCGGTAATTAGAAGAGCTTCCGCTGATATAAGAGCCCGTCTACTGGCCTCGTTCGACAGGTAAGACGCTGGTCTACAGTACGCGCGTCTCTTCGCCGTGTGTCGTGTGCGTGGTCGCCACATAATATCTTGACACACCCCACTAACGCTTGCGCCCGACCTTTTGCAGGCTATTATGGACTCCTCACATGCGTTCGTGGGGGACTTTGGCATGAACATGAATGGCGGCGATAACCGCTTTATGAACCAGTTCAACTTGGGCGGCAGCTCTACCGTTAACAACGGTACCATGAGCGGTATGGACTTGTCCGGCGGTCTGGACTTCAGTAGCGGCATGAATCTCATGACGGACTCGTCCATGATGCTCGGAGGCAACTCGTCCACGTCCACTGCTGGGCTCATCGACTTTCCTGACGAGCTTAACTCGCCCACGACGTCAAGTAGCGGCCCGAGCAGCAGCAGCTTGATGATGGATACATCTGTGTCCGTGATGACCGCTTCCTCAGCGCCGATGAGCTCGACGACAGACGCGATCCCATTCCCGGCGTCACTGGCGTCCGAACCACTAACAAATAGCGGCACTTCGTCCTCGTCATCTGGGGGTCTGGACGTGATGAACTTTATGAACTCGACGACGACCAGCAGTGGCATGAATACTAATGGCAACGGGATGGGACTGGACATGAACATGGGCATGAACATGGGCATGAATATGGGGATGAACATGGGTATGAACAGCATGGGAATGGACATGAGTGGCAACAACTTCGGTATGAACGATCCGAACAACATGATGTTCAATAATATGCAGCACATGAACATGATGAACCAGCAAGGAAACTACTATATGCCTCAGCAACAAATGCAGCAACAGCACTACATGCAGATGATGCACCAGCAGCGCCAATTAAACCTACAACGCCAGCAGCAACAGCAGAAAGCGCTGCTCGAGCGTCAGCGACTCGCTCAGCAGCAGCAAGCTCTGAAAAATAACGCCAATCAGCAGACACAACAGGCAGCGCAGCAGAAACAGCAGCAGATGCTCGTAGCAGGTCAGCTTCCGTCTCAAATGGCAGCCCAGAGGCAGATGAGCGGAAGCAATCCAAGTGTAGACACCACATCTAATGCGAACGCATCACGGTCGCAGCCTCAAGCTACAACTCAAAATACTGGAACAGCGGCGAATACTACACGACCGACGTGGCAGTCTTCGGCGGATCAGGCGCTACGCAAGGAGATGCTGAATCATATTATGCGCGTGCTTCAGAACCAGCGATCCAATGCGCCAGCTAACTGGCTGCAGAAACTGCCGGAGATGGCGCACCGTCTTGAAGATGAATGTTACCGCATTGCTAGTTCGCGTGAAGAGTATGCGAACACTAGTACGCTCCAGTCTCGATTGCGCAGCATCGTGCGGAGTGCTCAGACCCACCAGCGTAGTGTTGGAGCCAATGCAATGAGGCAGGCTGGAGCGTCCAGTCAGGCTTCTCCAGTGAACGCCCGACCAGCGACTTCCACGCCTGGTGCAACGCCCATCCCGTTTCCTGGTGTACATGCCGTTGCCTCGACGTCGAACGGCATCAGTTCGGACGTGAAGAACCTTGCCGCTCAGGCTATTCAAATGCCGCCGGAACTTCAGGATCCGCCGTCTCAATTGAACACTCCAGTTAAGGCAGAAGTGTCTCAAGCTCAAGCACTCATGCAATCGACACCCTCAGCACTGGACTCGGCCTTGACGGATCGTTCGTCTATGAGCGGTACGGGGATCTCGCCTCTTGCTGGACAGAACGGAGTTCAAATGACGCCGGGCTCCGGTGGTGCCAATGCCAGTGGGAATGCAACCGGTTCAGGACCCCAAACTGCCAGCTCTCCTGCCTCAGCTGCTCGCAACAAGTCAGCCCAGATCATTTGGCAGTTTAAGGCCAAGGCTCAGCAAGTAACGTCAGCACTGGACAAGAACCAGACCACGGAGTATCACAACAAGTTGCGGCTAATGGTCCGTGATGACGTTAAAACCGCTGGGTCGAAGGAGGTATTGCAGCGTCAGCAACAACGATTGTTGTTGTTGCGTCACGCTATGTGGTGTAAGTCACCAGAGGGCATGTGCACAACGACGCCGAACTGTGGCGAGATGAAGCGACTCTGGGCTCACATGGGGGCATGTCGACAGACCAATGCGTGCTCGTATGACCACTGTATCTCATCCAAGTACGTGCTGTCGCACTTCCAGCAATGTGTAAACGCCAAGTGTCTCGTGTGCCAAGTTGTTCGGTACCCCGTGGAAGTCAAGGAGAAAAACGGAGCACTGATGCTAGATGCAGACCGGGCGTTGCAGCAGATTATCGCGGCAAGTCAGCGTCGACAACGCATGCTTGCGATGAAGAAGCAGCAGGAAATGCAACAGCAGATGCAGCAGCCTCAGCAAGTGCAGCAGCAGATGCCTTTAGCTATGCCCGCGCATCTTCAGCAACCTCAGAACAGTGGCAACGTTGCGTCAATGAACTTCCAGCAGCCACAGCAAAATGTTGGACAAATTGTGAACCATGCCACTCCGATGGGTATTAATATGAACTCGATGGGAATGGCGATGCCGAACGGAGGCAACAGCTCAGTCGCCAACACGCCTGCTGTGAGCTCGAATGGCTTGATGAACCAGCAAGGAAATGTGAAGCCAGAGACTAGTGCTGCACCGACGAATCTTGTACCAGATGATCAGCGACAATTTCAGTTGATCAAGCAGAAACTAAACGGACGATCGTTGGAGCAGTTAACGGCGCATTGCGTGAAGCTGGAGAAGTGGGTGGAAGAGATTCGTGCGCGTATGAACGCTATTATGAACGAGTGTCGGCAGCTGTTACACCTCTCGAACTCGACGCAGGACCCAATGCAGAAAACGCAATACGAGACGCAGGTACAGGAGAAACGTGTGATGCTTAAGCAACTGGATGTCAAGTTCAAGCAATGCAGGAGTCAGCGGAATATTGTCAAGCATGTGATTGACGAGCGCAATGCTGCGTCTACGATGCCAACGCAGAATGGCGTGACTAACGCTGTGGGTACAATGCAGCCGATTCCGATGCCAGCGCAAATGCAACAGCAAACTTCTCTCCAACAACCACAGCTACCGACTGCTCCGGCGACGATGAAACCTTCTCCTGATGACTTACTGGGTGAGGAGGATGATGTCCCTTCCAAGAGTGATAACAGTCTTGCAGTCGCTGGAAAGCCTTTGGAGATGCCGATGGATCTTCAAGACACAAGTGCGACCCCTGTCTCGGTTGCTGCGCCATTGAACATGTTGACAGCTCCCCAGCAACCCACTGGCAACCACGCAATGACTGCGATGAATGGTCCTCGACCAGCGCTGCCGATGGACCATGGTCAAGGACAAGGATATGGCCAAATGCAAAGCCGAATGCTGGGAAATGGGGGAATGGGCAGTATGCCACCAACTTCAGGGTCATTTGGAGACACGGTTAAAGTAGAACCTCAGGTAAAGTCTGACACTTCGGGAACGTCTTCAGCTCAAGCTACTCCGTCGGCTGTAAAGGAGGAAGTGGCCATCAACCCGCTGACGATGAATAATCCAAAGTTGAATGCGATGATGTCCGAACATCGCCGAATGGATGCCAGCTCAGACTTGCAGCTTCCGGCAGGGGCAGTAGGGACACCAAAAGCAATCATTACGAGTGGAAGTGATACAGGTTTGAGCGCTGCAGCGGCAGCAACACCAGCGCCGCCTGCTTCCTCAGAAGTGCCAATGTCTGTGCTGAACGAACTGAGTAACGAGGACCTCGCTTCTCATGTGGACTCTTTGGTAAAGTACTACAACGCCACAGTCTCTCCAGCGAATCTGAAGAAGAAATTGGAAGGGATTTTGAGGGGAATGATGGAACACAAGTTTGGCTGGGTGTTTAACACCCCGGTGGACCCGATAGCGCTGAATATCCCGAATTACTTCAAGATTATTCGAAAGCCGATGGACTTAGGAACCGTTAAAAAAAAGCTGGAAGCAGGTATCTACAAGCATACGGAGGAATTCGCTCTGGATGTTCGAACGACGTTCCAGAATGCTATGCAGTACAACAGCGAAGACCAGGATGTCTACAGCCTCGCCAAGGACATGCTGGCGGACTTCAATAGTGAAATGCGAAAGGTTGTGGCCGAAATCGACGTTGATGAAAAGGCTGCTCGTGCTAAGGAGAGCTCATGCCGACTCTGTGGTATCGAGCGTATGGTATTTGAGCCTGCCGTGCTGTACTGCAACGGCGAGTGTAACAGTCGAATCCGACGGAACTGCTACTACTACACTTCAGCTGATAACAAATATCACTGCTGCCATCAGTGCCACGCTAACCTGCCTGATACCATCAAGCACAATGAAGGACGCAACTACCAGAAGAGTGAGCTCGCGCGGAAAAAGAACGACGAAGTGCACGAAGAGCCGTGGGTGCAGTGTGACAAATGCGAGCGTTGGGTTCACCAAATCTGCGCTCTATTCAACGGAAAGATTGACAGTGAGAAGAAACCGCAGCTGGCCAAGACTGAGGGAGGCCAATCTACTGATAGCGGCGATGCTACTCCGTCGCCTTCATCGTCTACTGCAAAATCTACCACAGTCACTACGACAGTTGTCAAGAGTTCTTCGTCATCGGGATCGAAGGGGACGGTCCACTCCATCACGACCTCGCCCGGCAGTGAGTTTCTATGTCCGGAGTGCTTACTGGATCACCGTAAGAGCGAACCTCAAAAGTACAAGATTGGACGTCACGCCTTCAGTGCGAAGGATCTGCAGCGCACGAAGCTGTCAGATTTTCTGGAGCGTCGCCTAATCAAATCGTTGCAAGCAGAGCGTGAGGATGAGGCCAAATGGACGCAACGGGACGCTAAAGATGTGGAAACGGTGGAGGGTCTCACTGTGCGGTTGGTGTCGAACATTGAAAAGCAGTTGATGGTGCGCGATAAGATGTTCCAGCGCTACAAGGACTCGCACAAGTACACATCCGAGCACCGCTTCAAGTCCAAGTGCATTTGTATGTTCCAAGAGATTGACGGTGTGTCGGTGTTGCTTTTCGGTATGTACGTGCACGAGTTCGACGAACAAGAAGCAGATTGCAACTCGCGCCGCGTGTACATCTCGTATCTGGACTCGGTGAACTACTTCAAGCCGCCTCATCTTCGCACAAAGGTGTACCATGAGCTACTGATTGCGTACTTTGACTTTGTCAAGCAGCGTGGCTTCCATACTGCACATCTGTGGGCCTGTCCACCGCTGAAGGGCGATGATTATATCTTGTACTGCCATCCAGAATCACAGAAGACGCCCAAGTCGGATCGTTTGCGCGCATGGTATGTGGATATGCTGGTCAAGGCTGAGGAGGAGGGGGTAGTGTGGCAGATCACCAATATGTACGATGACTACTGGCGCAACGACAACACGCCGTGTGCTCTGCCGTACTTTGAGGGCGACTATTGGGTCGGGCTGGCAGAAGACTTGATTGAGAAGTTGGACGCCGAGAAGCCGAAAAAGATTGTGAACAGGCGTGGCTCCAAGTCGCAAAAGCGCAAGAACTCGGATACGAAGAAGGCAGCAAACAAAAAATCTAAATCGAAGAAGCCAAAGCGCCGGAAGACAGCGTCTGGTGGAGAAGTGTCTGGCAATGAGGACGAAGACGACGATGCACATGAAGCCACGTCGTCGAGTAATCGCGCGCTTACGGTGAAATCGTTGGATACTCCAGACAGGAAGCTTTCAGACCCTCTGATGCATAAGCTTGGTGAGGTGATCGAGCCCATGAAGGACGACTTCTTGGTGGTGAAGCTGGTACCATGCTGTCGTGTGTGCAACACGTCTGTGGTTCAGGGCACGCTGTGGCGCGATCACAGTGTGAAAACGGAACATGGCCTCAATCCGAAGGTGGTGCAGACTGCGTTGTGTGATGGATGCTACCAGAAGCTTAAGGTTGTATCGGTTGGAGGGTCATCTGCGGCTCACCACAGACTCCAGGCTCGGCTGAACGCTCTGACAAAGGAAACTGTAGCGTTGCCAGAGCGATGCACGGACCCGGATGAAACTAACGACAGCGAGTTTTTCGACACGCGCCAGGCATTTTTGAGTTTGTGCCAGGGAAACCACTACCAGTTCGACGAGCTGCGGCGAGCAAAGCACTCGTCCATGATGGCATTGTATCACCTGGGCAACCCTAATCCAAATGCGTACGTGTACGAGTGCAACGCGTGCACGCGCGACATCGTGACGGGCAACCGCTGGCATTGCCACACGTGTCCGGACTTCGACGTGTGCGATGCTTGCTACGCCAAGGAGAAACACGAACACCCGCTGGAAATGGTGCCGACAAGTGGAGGCGGAGCCGCTGGAACGGGTGCTGGTGGTCCTGCTGGGGCTGGAGGCGCAGCTGGCACTGCAGCGCTGACTGCAGAGCAGCGCCGTCTTCGTGAACAGCGCGCCAAGAACGTTCGCTTGCACATGCAGCTGCTGGTACACTCGAGTTCGTGTGCTGACGGCAACTGTGGCTCGTCCAACTGCGAGAAGATGAAGGAGCTAATGCGTCACGGAGCGCAGTGCAAGCAGCGAGCGTACGGCGGTTGCACGATCTGTCGGCGCGTGTGGGCGCTACTGCAGCTCCACGCCCGACAGTGTCGCCAATATGAGTGCAAGGTGCCGCGTTGTCACGACCTGCGTGAGCACGTACGCAAACTCCAGTTACAGCAACAACTCATGGACGATCGTCGTCGCGCTGCAGTCACGCAGCAGTACCGGCAGATGCAGAATGAGCGTCAGCAGGAGCAAAAGAGCCAGGCTCAAGGCGACGAGCCAATGCCACAGGCATGACTGACATGACCGGCCAGCTTAGATGGAACCAAAGTGTCGAGTGTAGCATAGGATAGGGCAAACCAATACTAAATGTAGATGTGTGTCAACGTGGCTTCAAAGTCTATCCGCGTACGTCTTCACAATTGCAACAGGTTGCTGGACAATGAAGGACGTGGAGCAAGCCCGCGCATACTATTAACTGCTTCAAAGGGAGGGTCTGTCTAGGTGCAGCGTTGATGACACAGTTGACACTAGTCCTCTATGCCTTCTTGGCTCCAAGTCGTTTCTGACGGCGGCGGTGGTGTGAGCATGGACGCTTGCCATGGTTGGCCTAACAAATAACAACATAGATTTAGCAAGACAGTAATCCTCTCGAGTACGTCGTTTAACTATTCCGACCTTCTTGGGGCGACGAGCGTTGCGGTTAAGCAGCTCCATGGCGATAGGAGTCTCCTCAGCGGCGAACCAGTTGACAGTTGACGGCACGCTGCGTACACCAGCGACGGCGACTGCCGGACGAGCTGCAAGGGACGCGAGAGGATTGACACACAGCCGACAATTAATTGGCGGTCGCAATGGAGATAGAGATCGTAGTATGGGGTAAATATGCAGGAATTACCGGCAATGGAGGGGAGCAGCGAGGCGGGTGCCGACGCGCTCTTGGTCACGACGGAGAGCAAGCGCGAGCACAGCATGTCTGGCTGGGAGATGCTGGTTGGCGAGAGGCTGTAAAAAGTGGTAGAATAAAGTTGCTCTTTAATTATTAAGTTGTGATAACGAATGTTGTGATTATTTCAAGCAACTTTATTTTTTTGAAGGTTGTGTTGAAGTTGTTTACTGCGGGCATCATGCAGCCAGCAGTCGCGCGGAGTGAGGCATACTGGCGCAACGACGGCTCAGTACGCCGCCAGCTGAGCAAAAGAGGACGACCGGATGCAAATACTGCCGGTACCGGAGAGTTCGTGCGACTGGCGGCGGCCATCGACGGGTGCACGACTTTCAATCCTAAACAATGGCGGCGTGTGCTGGATAAGTCAGCGACAGTGCTGCGTCGTCGCAAGAGCGACGTCATTCACTATGCCGACAAGATTAACAAAGGCGACAAGAAGAGGGTGGTGGGAGGAGACAAGAAGACACTTACTCAACGTCCTTTATCTCGAGATGAAGACAATGTGGATCCAATTGACTGGACATCGCGCCCTCCACTCTCAGTGGCACAGTACTTGAACCAGCCAGATATGGTGAGAGATATCCTAAAAGAAGCCCGAAACGGTGAATTAGAGGGCCAGAAGGCCGATGGTGATGATGAGGTTCTGGTAACAGAGGTTCAAGAACGAGAGCATGAGATAGATGGTGATAAGGAGAAGAATAATGTGCAAAACGATGAACGACAGACTAGTGATGGAAATACGACAAGAGAGGGGACTTCTCACGTAGTACTGCCTTTGTTGACGACGATGTCGCCTCGAACGAGGCGTGGACTGGCACACCTACCTCCTCCTTGCGAAGCCGAGATGCGTGAGATTGAGAGTTTTGAGCGCTCGATAGATCACCCCGATTTTTTCGAAGATTTTTATCGTGAGCTAAAGAGGAAGCGGATAAAACAAGCTCGACGACAAAATGTAGTAGCTGAAGTCTCGTCTGTTAAGGTAGATATGAAGAATTCGATTATTTTGTCGTCGTCGATGCGGAAACCTAAGAGGCACCGCGGTGCTATTAAACCGGCTAAACTACCAACGATTCCAGCGGAGGAGACAGTAAATGTAAAGGAGGTGAGTGACCATAAGCAGATGGAGGGAGAAATGACAAAACGAGTTATATTGAAGACGTCGAATCACCAGTTTTCCTCAAGCAAACACAAAATATCGAAGCGCTCTCGCAGCTTCAACAGATTAATTCAGGAACGAAATTTGGCTGAGTTGCAGCACGGAGCAGCAGAATTCCAAGTCAAGGAAACTATCCATGAAATAAAACAGTGGATTCCGCTAGATGTGATCTATGCAGTTGGGCTTGGCAAATTTGCATCACCAGCGCATCAACGAGCTGCTGAACTGTTGTTTCGCGTTGGAGTTCGCTTGACAAATCAATTGCTGTTCCTGGGCATGGATCGCTGGGCAGAGTTTACCTTCGCAATGAGAGAACAAGAGTGGACGCATGCGAGTATTCGTCTGCAATGCTGGTGGCGACAAATATGTGCGAGACGTGAACTCATCAAGCGAAGACGAATACGAAGGGAGTTGCAGCGCAGACAAGAGACATTTCTCGCTCTACTTGCTAGTAAACAAAACCAAGCAGCCTGCAGAATAACTCGCTGCATCAGATATTACACACTTCGGCATGCACGTGCGCGAGCAGCACTTCGAGAAAAAGCGGCTCTTTGTATTCAAGAATTTTGGAAAAAGTTATGCACTCATTGGCTAGCAGTACGTCGAGAATTGCGCCGACAACGTCAAGACCAAGCAGCTATTTGCATTCAAAAACATGCACGACGGATAATCGCTCAGCGAAGGCGAGTTTTGCTCACTAGAATTGACCATGTCGATAAGCTCCGTCGAGAAAAAGCTGCTCAAGTTGCTGCCAGAGCGAAGAGTTTAGAAATGCTTGGAGCTGCAATAACCATACAACGTGCTGTTCGCAGCTGGCAGGAAAGACGAGTCCTAGTGCTTCGACGCCGACGAGCTGCGTTTGATCGAGATAAGAGAAAGATACTAAAGGTTCAAGCGCATTATCGAGGCCAACAAGCTCGCAGATGGGTAGAAAAACACAAGCGAGACGTCCAGACATCCGTTCTTGTCATTCAATGCGCATGGAGTTCATACCTTTCCAGAAGTGATCTCTGGAAACGCAAGCAGCAAGCCTTTGATCGACGTAACGAGATACTGAAGGAAATCGAGGAAGAGCGTCGAAAAAGAAAAACAAATGCTCTCGTTCCAACTCAATTACAGAAAAAATGGGGCCAGATCTCATTACTTAAGACAAGCCCATTTCAGCCTGGAGATGTTTCGAAATCACGAGAGGTTCAAGCTGCTCGAACACTTCAGGCCAGATGGAGAGGCAAGCAGATACGCAAGCGTCTTCGGTATGACAAAGTAAAAGAGAAAGAGAGAGCGAGACGTGAAGTTAATCGCAAACGGAGGCTTGCAGCCATTTGCATACAGAAGCGTATCCGCGGAATTAGAGGCCGAGCTTATGCATGGCAAATGATGGAGGAACGAAGCGCGAAGCGAATTCAAAAATTATGGAGAGGGTACAAAACACGAATACAGCTTCTGAAAATGAGATATGCTCTCAAGATGCTCTGTCGGATTCAAGTACGCTGGAAGGCTCGACGAAATATCGAAAACCAGCGTTTCCGTGGTCTTAACGCAGCAATTATTCAGCGGGCAGCACGGCGATTTATCGGAAGAAAGATGGTGTCTGCAGTGGTTCGACGCCGTCAATTTCTAGCAGAAGAGAGTGCAGTGGGTAAAGTCCTCGAGGACAGGACTCGCAGACGCGTGAAGGACGAGTTGTTACTGCAGAGCTTTACCTTCAAATCTGTGAAAACTGCTGATGACAAAGAAAGCAGTACTCAAGTGGAGTGTCGTATTGATCGAGCACTGTATACTGTGGACTTGGAGAAAAAACAATGGAAACGAAAAGGATATGATGGAATTTGGCAGGAAGTATTTCGGAATGCCGCTGGCAACTCAGTAGAAATGGATAATTCTCATTTTGCGAGATTTCTCAAGGCTCTGCCGCATGCTTTCATCCATAAGACCCATTACCCAATGCAGAACGCTGATGTCATTTTTGCGAAAATGAAGGAACCTAAGGCGAAGACAATATCGTTTCCAAGATTTAACAAGGCCATTTTAATGCTTTTGAAAGAGAAATTTGTGGATTCGACGGAGACAAAAGGTTTAGAGCCTGATGACATTGGCGGTGACTTCGAGCGTTTTCTTCGGTTCATGAATCGCTTTGTACTACCGTCGACGATTCAAAATGGAAAATACAGGAAGTTGCTGGAATTGCATTGTACGAAGCGATTACTGTGGTCGGTCAAGATATTGCGGAGGTTTGCGATCCGCATTGCTTCGAAGCGAAGACACGATGAGTTCGTGATCATTCTCCGTGAGCAACAAATTCAGAAACAGTGTAGTAAAAGTGCTGCAACAATCCAGCTAGCGTATCGCTGTTATAAGTTTCGCTTGCAGCTGAAGGCGATGCTTGCCAGCATGTTTACTGAATTTATCGACCATACTGGACGTACAGTGAAATTCCAACACATTGCTAGTGGGAAAGTCCTCACGAAGCGACCAGTTTTCTTGAGGGGAGTAGTTTGCAGCAAGATTATCCCATTACCATTTCCTGGTGAGGGGTTCAACGCATATTGTGAACGCCACGAAGACAGTACTGATTCAAATGCATCGAGAGTTCCCGCGCAGGTTTACTGTGTCGAGTGTGAAGATGCTATGTGCAACGTCTGCTTTGATAGAGACCACAAACCACGGAAAGCTTTTCAGAGGCACCAGCCGCGGAAGATTCAAAAGTGCAGTCACTGTGGAACGGAAACTGCGACGAGAGAGTGCCTACAATGTGGGAACGGCAAAGTTCCCTTTTGCGATCCTTGCTTTCCACACGTACACAAACAGCTATTCAAACACAAAAAGCAATTATCTCATCATGAAGCTACGCAAGAAATCAAGCTGGATGTAGGAGATCTAGTAGTGGAGAATCAACACAAATTCCAAGCGCTGGTTGTCATGTGCGTTGAGTGCTCTGATCGAGTAGCTCAATGGTCTTGCGAAACGTGTTTGGATGATTTTTGCAAGCGCTGCATGAGTTCATATCATGCTAAAGGACAGAGACAACACCATCATTGTCATCGCTTGAATTACTTCTCTATTCTTCGACAGAAAGCAGAACAAAAGCGCGATACAGACGCCGAAAAGGACCGAGAGAGGCGACAGAAGCAACGTGAAGAAATGAAACGACAACAAGAAGAGGAACTCAAGCGACAGAACCTCGCTGCTGCAAAAATCCAAGCGCTTATTCGATCGTTCGTTGTGCGTCAATCTGGAAAGGCATACATGAAGTTAGTTCGACAGACTCAAGCAGCGCGCGCTCAGCGGAAAAAAGACGATAAAGTTCGAGCGTCCATCGTCTACAAGATGAAAGCTGTGTTTGGTGTGTCCCCAGCCTTAAAGTCCGACACGAAGCAAGAGATCGAGGCGCGTCGTAGATGCTTTGAAAATATCAAACGTACTCTTTTCCTCCAGCGGCCACCAGTGGATAAATCCAAGCGACCAAAGAAGCGCTGGAGTAAGAATCAAAAGGCTCGAGTTTTGGAGGCTGCCAGAACTTGGTGCGGCTATGATGAGCCAGTGAAAATTATTAGGGGAGAATGGAAAAATTGTGTAGGAACGATCGTATCGGCGCAAAATTTGATACTTACCGGAAGTGTGCTGGTTTTTGTCCCTCTAGCCAACCGATCTGCAGTTGTTCGATTCGAGGACATTGTACCATACGACCAAGACGGCGCTTTACGCCAAGCGTATGAATCACCTGCTCTAGTAGCTGTGAACATCACGAGAGATTTCCGGATAAAAATCTCACAAATCTTGGAGGCTGCAGTCCGGAAGGCACGCTTGTTGTACTTACAAACAATCGAGTTCAAGCGTATTACGCAATATGCATGGGTTGTCGACTATGACAAGCATGAACAGAAGGTAGAATATTGGAATGTGGTGCTCAATCGACGCGTTTCAAGTCCACCCAAGGCGATGGAGTTAATCGAGCGAATGGAACTCGAGGACCGGGAAAAGTTAGAGAAGCGTGTGGAGTTAGCCAAGAGCAAACTCGTTGCGTTGCTGAACCCATTTGTATCAAAGAACAAGCCTAAGCTGGCGTTACGGAGAAATGCTATTGTATTCATATCAAATGGCGTGAATGCAGAGACTGAAAACACTGTAGTTACATCTCTGAAGCGTGAGATGGAGGCCATCGACGGAGCTCGTTTCTGGCACGACAAGGTGGTTCCAAACAGGCAATTTGGCGGCAAGAAGGCACAGAAATTCCTTGCTGTTTCTCCGTCCAAGGCTTGCTGGTCAATCGCCAAGCTCTTCAGTTGGATGGATCTGCACGAGGACGGCGGATTCGAACCTCACGCTAAGAAACTACTGAGGCTGACAGAAGACCTTCAGGTCTACGTGGTGCAGGAGGTGAGCGAGCGCTTCGAGAAATCGGGAGACGTGAAACTCGCGAGAGATAAACTGCTACAACTGATGAACTTAAAGGAGGCGACGCTGCAGTTGCTCATGACCAAGGATCAGCGAGACGCTGAGGAAGAAGAGGCTCGGCAAGTGCAGTGACCAAAACGGCAACTTCAACTCGTACTTAGAACGATTCGGACTTCCGGGGATCCTAGAATTGATGTTGTCTGAAGGTCGCTTGTACGATTCTACCAGGAAGTCATAAATAGACGCCAGCAGCGACCAGTCATTCTTTCAGCCAACCAGTGGCCTGCCGAGCCGCCTTCATTTGTCTCGCCCACGCAACAAAAGGGAAGTTCGAAGCTACTCGCATCAACTAGGAAACAATGGGTAAGACGATGGTCCTTTCGCTTGGAAAACCAGGGGAGACGGACGACAGCGATGGCATTAGCAGCACAGGCAGGCAGGGGCAGGTGGAGACACCGACTTTGGGTCGAGCAATAGCGACAAAAACGCAGATACAGGGGACAGCAATACAGATACAGCACAGGACACCAGCGCATTATAGTCTCCGCCACCTGCCTGTCCGCTTTAAAAGCCTCGCCGTCCATGTCCGACCGAATTTGATGGAAGACAGGGTGCTAATGTTCGTGTTTTGATTGGCTACAGTCCAGATCAAGGCGCACGAGCTCCGCACCAAGAGCAAGACTGAGCTGCTCCGTCAACTTGACGACTACCAGCAGGAGCTGGCCCAGCTCCGCGTGGCCAAGGTCATTGGCGGCGCTGCCTCCAAGCTGAGCAAGATCCGTGTGGTGCGCAAGTCGATTGCTCGCGTGCTGACGGTGTACAACCAGAACCAGAAGGCCAAGCTCCGTGCCGCTCTGGGCAGCAAGAAGCACGTGCCCCTGGACCTGCGCCGCAAGCAGACGCGCGCTATCCGCCGTCAGCTGTCCAAGCACGAGAAGTCGCTCAAGACCCTTAAGCAGCAGAAGAAGGAGTCGTACTACCCCAAGCGCCGCTACGCTCTTAAGGCGTAAGCGTTGCTAGTTGCTGGACGTGCGTCGGACTAAATACACCCTCCTAAGCTTCCCGCCATGTTTCGACACGGCGTTGATCATCTATCAGGGTTTGTGTACGTTAGTATTTGCTGCTTTTTTCTTACTTATTCCTCAGTGACGGCGCCCCAGTGGAACGATTCGTGCTCCTCTTCGGAGTTGGAGTCGGATACGATATCGAAGCTGCTTGATTCGGTTTCTTGCATTTGATCTTGTTGTGATTGAGACGCTTCATCGCTCTGACTGATGAGTTGAGTAGCATCGGGGTCTTCAGCGTTACTCTGCTGTGTTGAGCGTAGTGTGCATGCTGGATCTACCATGGGTAGTGTGGCCATTGCTAGGTCGCTTAGTAAGTCGTCATGGGTGGCGAGCTCGTCAAAATGTGCTTGTCGTGAAGAAGAATCCTCAACCTCTACAGGTTCTACGCCACCTTCCTGCAGTTATCAAAATTACCAGTGAAAAAAGTGATAATGGACGTCACTATTGGACTAACTCGTACCTTGATTGTGAAGGGCTGAACGACGTAACTTGCAACGGACGACTTGACAATGGTCATCGCGTGACAGAGAGAATGCCGCTCCATGATGAACTGCAACGCGTAGAACCACCTTAGCGCGTGTAAACATTGACAAAGCCATCAATATCACGGACCCTTGTGGTGACGCAATGAGCCCAGCTATCGCCAAGCTGCGGCTTTGTGTACAGTCCACCTTCAACATCCTGGACGTTAAAAATCGCCGCAACAAAATTGAACAACAAACAGAATGCCTACCTTCACCTTCCACTGTAGTTGCACGATTAGTGACCACGACAAATGCTTGATATGTGTCTGCGAATAACCTGAAGACAAGCAACATGTCGTTAGCTTCCATAAAGTAGATTAGGTGTAGCTGTGCTCACTTCAGGTCTCTTGCCATCCGCAACATTTGATGCTGGCGCTGCTCGTGCAATAAATCGTTGGCCTGGGAATACAAAGAAAAGCAATTTTATCAGTTCAAAGTGATTCATAAATATAATGCGAAATGTCCACACGGACAGCAACCTTGATGAAGAGCGTTGTCGCACAGTCGATAATAAGAAGCTTGATTTTGAGTGAATGCATGGCATCTTCCATCTCTTTGAACCTGTAGCACACATTTTGTTAGATCGGTCGACTTTACCGGGACAAAATGACGTCGTACTTGGACACAAATGCTGCGATAGAGTTAACCTTGACGACACGAATACGCTTGATGACAGCGGCAGCCAGCTCATTATTATCTGCTTCTTGACCAGCTCGCGTCAGTTTAATGCGTGCAATTGTAATCTGCAACAAACTGCACGGAAAGCAACTCAGAGTGTTTCCACAGCGCGCTATAGCTCCACACAACCAAACCGTTTGGCACTAAAATTGTGCTCCACATCGAAGAACATGACGCCATTGTTCGGGTAATCCATGGCACACACCACTGCAAGTGTCATGGCCAATTGACTCTTGCCGATTCCTGCGGTGCCAACGAACTGTTCTCGACATCAACTCACCAGCTACAAACATACTTCGAAAAGTCAATTTCTCACCTCTGATAGTGCTCGACCGTGCAGACCCCCATTCAAAGCTTGATCGATGCGTGGCAGTCCTGTGCGCAGAAATGTCGGATGGTTGGCACTTTCCAGAAAGAGATCGAAGGCCTAGCAGCAAGGCAATCGTAGCTTATCATCAGCATCCCTCTGTAATATTCTCACGACGAAAGAAACTGAAATACTGTCGCTACCGAACGACTTGCAGGGGCGATTCGGATCGAGACTTTTGTCATCAACTCCTGCATACACGAACGTGAATAATAAATAGTACATCAACTAATAGAAGTCGAATTTCTTGTCTGGTATACCTCCGTCTCGCGAACTGACATGTCCACAGCATGAGCGACATCCCACAGAGAACGCTGCAGCAAATGCCGGTGCGTTGTGATGCCGCTGGAGCGAAATAGCTCGCGCCGACGCTCGTCCACATTCTCCCGAGCCAAAACCCGCTGCAGCATCTTATTGGCTACTGCCACGGATGTACTTCAGTCAATACAAACTGCACTCGTAATCGTACCAACCAAGCGAATCATGGCATAAGAAGTGTAAAACCTATATAATCTTGGATTTCTGGTTTCATGCGATCGTGTCTGGGTAAGACAACATATTATTCTTTTAAAACTAGGTGATAATTGGAACATCGTGAAGGCCTATGTGGGCATCAAGAGCTGCAAAGGTGATCATCGACTGACGAAGTTTCAACTCTCGATTGTTTCTGATTTTCTCTTTTCCGAATGCAAGTGTTGTCAACTGCATCTGTGATTGAACATTATTGTAACGAAAAAATGTCCGTTCGGTTCAACCTTTCATCATACGAAAGTTGCATTTTGCTGCTCATGACTGGACTGAAACGGATCGATTACGTGCAGAGGCAGCGCAAGTGAAGGACGACACGTACTGATCATTGTTGTGTAGGCAGCCACGCAGCTATTTATCATAAATAGCTAGGTTTGAGCTAGACGTCCGTCGCCTGTCCTCCTGTGCTTGGCGCTAATGCGGTTATTTTAATACTAAAACGGAGATCACGCTGTTGTACCAATGCCCTCCTACCCAGCAATCTCTCGCGTTCTGCTGTCTCCTATTATAGTATATTTCGTAGTTGCAATATTTGATGAAACGTTCCTTCTTGGAATTCCAGGAATCTGCTCTCCACTATTTGCCACTTCTCAACTCTACACCAAGAGCCCAACACGTCTGATCTCCTACTAACCCCAAGAGCTCACTCAACCCGTCTGACTCAAACTGGACAGCCAACTTCTTCTGGAATCATGGTAGCCGAGGCAACTTTGCGATATGTAGAGCGGTTTCTTGATGACTCGGGCGGTAACGACAGGCTGGGCCGACCTGGTGACCGTGAGTCCCTCGATAATGCGGGTCGACACATGCGGGTAGCGATGGTATTCGTCTTGGCAGGATTTATGACCATTTGGCTGCTTTGTGTGGGGTTGATTTGGCACATAAGGGTGAATCGAGCAGGGGCTTTCAAAGGGAATGCAGAAGCAGCAAGGAAGGTGATCTTGCCAGCATACGAACCGGTGCTGTTCGTGATGGCAATTATCAATGGCGCCTACATAATTTTCCTCGTGGTTGCGTTCGCAACTGACTATTTCGACGTGTTCATCTCCCCGGTTATACTGGAATCGTTTTGTTCCGGCAATCAGTTCATGTTCGTGACCGTCCTGATGCTTATGTTCGAGAAAAGCCTGTCATTCCCAGCCGTCAAGCGAGCAGTGGCATTGTCGTTGGTTCTGTCCTACTACACCACCTTGTACGTCTGGATAGTGACAAAATTCGGGAGTCCAAATCACCAAAAGGAGTTTACCATTGGCCTCCAGTTTGTACGCGGCCTGCTCATGCTTCCATTTATGTACGCGTTTGTCAAGCCTCCAAACCGAGCTACAAAGAGAATCATTCGAGAATTGTGTTTCGCTACCTTTGTTTTCTATGCGCTCATGGTACTGGTGGTGATTTTCGCCACGAACCCAAAGACTGCACCGAATAGCCACTACGTCCTCTACGCGATATTGTCGTGGGTGGCATTTTGTCCTCTGGTTGTGTGGCGTGTGTTGAAAGCGGACACTGAGTATTGGCGAGGAGTCGGTCAGCGAGCATGTGCTTTGCAAGACTATTTTCAACATGATAATGACCTGAGCGAGCGTGTATCATCTAAAGGTTTGCACGTACTCATTGAAATGAACCGAAAATGCGTGATCGACTTCGCTTATCTGGAGCTCATTCGGCAGATTGGAGTGGGGTCTAAATCCACTGTGTTTCAAGGAACTCTAAAAATGAAAACCCACGTCGCTGTCAAGGCGTATGCGCCTTCAAGTTGCTCCGAAGATGTCGTAGCCGCATTTTCGCACGAAGCAGCCATGTGCAGCGTCTTGAATCATCCTAACATTGTCAAGTTTCATGGAATGTGTATAGCGCCACCTACAATTTGTCTCGTATTCCAGCTTTGCCAGGGGAATTTGGCCGACACGCTGGCTGATCAAGCTCGCAGAAAAAATCATCCTGCCCGACAACAATTATTAATTTGTATCGGATTCATGTTGGATGCTGCTCGTGCTGTGGCTTATCTTCATAGTTTCTCGCCTCCGTTTGTCCACTGCGACATCAAGCCACCAAATTTTCTAGTTGACGCAGCGTGCAATGTGCAATTATCGGATTTCGGCGAATCCAGGAGATCGATGAATCGAAAAAAGAGAGCACCTGCAAAAGCGCAAGTAGCCATTTTGGAAGATAAATATTTTGAGCACAAAATTATTGATTCACCGATCGATACAGGTGAATCGCAAATCGACTCTACGTGGTGGATGCAACTGGAAAAGAACTCGATTGAATACACTGCACCTGAGATAATGGAACAAGGAGAACTGCGTGTGTATGGAGAAGCGACTGACGTCTATTCACTTGCTATTACTATGTGGGATATCTTACATCCTGCTGGTGACAAGTTTCCACAAGCACATGGAGATAGTGTCCAAGTGATTGAAGAAGTTCTGCATGGTGCACGCCCCAGGTTCAGCAGCAACACTCCTTTGAGATTACGCGGTATCATTGAGCGCTCCTGGCATCGTGATCCTGGTCTTCGTCCTTCGGCAGCACAAATTGTCGCTGCTTTGGAAGAAACTCAGGAGGATTTCTGCTCGCGACTTGTACTCGATATAGTGAGTGGTCTTAGCGATTTCTTTGATGTCGTGGATGAATCTGCATGTAGTTCAAGACCGCCAGGTGTTTACCACACTCACGCCTTCCCCGGAGCATTCATCGTAGACCGAATGATTGACCAGCGGTTCGTAAGGTGTCCGGCTGAGGCAGTTCGCATGGGCAACGCATTGATGGATTCCAGCGTCCTTCACCACGTTAACCATTCAAAGAGTTTCGAAAATAGTGCCACAGCACGGTACTATTTCGCTTTTGATGCAAGTCGTGAGAGTTCGAGTAGCTCATTTAGCCTGAATGAGACAACTGTTCCCATGCTGGCACATGGAGCCAACGGTGACCACTCTCGAACGTCCTTCAGCGTCGTACGACGCGCTGGACTCAGTTGTCAGTGTCGACAGCTAGGACAGCGTCTTATCAGGCAAAGCAAGGCATTTCGATTTCGGAAACAGTCTCAAGCTACTTCAGAGGCCACAGTCGACAACTTGGATCACTACAACGATCTACCTGGAACTGCCGCCACCATGGCCTAAAGCCTGTGTTGCGGAAATATGCCTTTTATCACACAATCCCAACAGAAATAATACGAAGCAATCGTAAAAGCCTTCTTGAGTAGTTGCCAACTACATGTACAAGTTGTATGTAATCACTTACGACGCTTAGAAAAATTTATCTGTAGTTGACATGTACGACCGCTTATTCGCTACGGTACTGAAGACATCGAGCCGTACCCCCTGCTACCAGTCGAGCGGCTCTTTGCAGCCTTCTTGAGTCTTGCGGAATCTTTGATCAGTGCAGTGAACTCATTGATCTCTGGCAGCATGTGTTTCTCCACCGTAGCAATATTCGACGGAGACAATCTGCCTTGGTGGAACGAGAACGTTTTCGTGATTTCTGGCTTGGATTCCTTCGCCGCATTGGGCACTTGGCACCACAATCCGTTGGTAAAGCAGAGACTTGATCCACCAGTGATGAAGTAGTATTGACTGCGGACAAGTACCGTCAGTTCTTCCTCGATCTGTAGCAATCTCTCCTCCAAATCGATATCGTTAGCGTCCAGACCAAACGGACATTCAATCTCCATAGCGATTTCGTCGGCCATAAAGAGGAACGTTCCCCATAGGAACACCCAAATCGGAGTGTACAATCCCGAATTTGGTACGATCACGAACATATAGAGTAGCATGTACGCAGCGAGCAGGAACTGAAGATACTGCATGTAGTTGAATGGGATTGGCACATTGGCGATGTGGAAAACCGTCGTGTACAGGTTGGGTAATTGAGAAATCTTGCTTTGCAAGCTACTGGCGTTTCCTGGTGTCAAATGACCACATTGAGCTGCCACTTGTACAAGTCGTTTGAGCCAAAGTTCCGTAATAGTAGCGCGAAGTTTGTGGGGAGTTCGACGCACTAAATCACAGTATGATTCGATCTCCTCTTCCTTCTTGTGTTCAGAGCCACTGGCAAACAATTCGTCGTACTCAGCATTGGTCAGAACACCCAAATCCTTCAACTTGTCAACATCATCACGGCCACGACAGTCGTGGAACACGATGGCGATGTACAGGAACACTAGACGACGTAACTCTGTGAAAAATGTGCATTTCTCCAAGATATCGCGCGAAATGGGCTGCGGCTTGGTGTCGTCAAATTTTTCGCTCTTTTGACCAGCTTGTTCTTCCATGGGTTGAGCTTGTTTAGCTTCGTCATTAGCGTATTCTTTCGCTTCTTCCTTGACGGTGGTGCTCACGTATGCACAGCCAGAGCCGACGATATCTCTCGCCGCCTCTGAGAGCGCCCCCATTGCCACCATGCCTGATCTCCATTGGTTAAAAGCCGAGTTCAACCGGAACGAAACGACAAGACCTAGGAACGTGTTGAACACGGTCAGCGAATCCGTGAACGCTATCGACTTACTCGTCGTCACCACGAACAAGTAGTAGTGATCCAAAAGCGCGACGACCAGCGCAACCAGAGCCATGTGGAGGGCTCGGATCGGTGCTTGACCGTTTAGTGCAGACCCGTGCCAACGCAGCAGCACCCCCCACAGCCGAGCTGCGTCGTAATAGATCATAGCTGGAAATTGGAGCTTAGCAACACCAACGGTGTTTGACGAATGAGGCCAAGAAGATCTCGAGGTCTGCGAAATGGCAATGGGTGCACTAGAGCAGTCAAGGCAAGAACTTTTTTGAAGTAAGCAGTCAAGGCAAGAACTTTTTTTTTTTCAGAAAAAGTGCTCAAAGATGGCCCACCGTATCGTACCATAACAAAAAAAAAAAATCAAAAGTGGGCCGAAACCAATGCGCACTTTTTTGATACAAAGTACTTTTTTTGTGCACTTCAACTTGTTTTTTTTCTTCCAAAAGTTCGTCGTCATTATTGCAAAAAAGAAACCGAAAGTGGTTATACCATTATTGTGTAAATGTTCTCGATTCTTTTTATTTAAGAATACTGTACGCTAAAACATTATTTTGAATGTTTTGAATGCTCTACTGCTGTCAAACCTGATACGAGGGGGAGTCGACAACCAACCGCTTTACTAATCTGCAGCTCGCTAAACGCGACAATTGTGAAAATCTCCATTGCAGTTGGAGCTCAAGTGCCTTCAGCCAGTCGTAACAACAGTCGACTTTGAAATCATGATCCTTGACTAATGTCACTTGCACGAACCGGACGCAGTGCTCTCCTTTGCTAATTATAATTGCATCATAACATCAGAGTTATCGTTTAATCCACATCGGTTCGTCAGATAGATATGCTGGTATACCATCTTCCACCAAAATATTGAAATAAATCTCCAACCATCGACGATTTCAGCATTTTTGTTTACCAAGGCAACGCTATCTTTTCGGCGTCTAGCGAAGAAAGCATCTCAAGCATCCAACAAGCAAAAGTTGGATTATAATGGGGCCACAGCATTGTCAACAATTCCCAATAAGTCTTGGCCCTCACTTCAAAGCAATACGAGAGGTGGCATACCGACTGGCTATCAAGTGTAATTTGTCTCCTCTTGAATTTACAACGATTGGTTTGATCAGGTCTACAGAAATGAACGAAGAGGTCAGAAAAGAGGTCATCTCATCCACAGCCCGTTCCTTTCTCATATATCATGTATCGATTGGCCTTCTCCGCGATCGCTTTCAGTAATACACTACCGCGCCAGTTCTTAGCCAACTGCACTGTATAGATATCAGCCAAACGTGCAACGGAGAATGCAACCGTGTTGTGATTGGTGAAAACTGTGTTTGTGGACCTTTTTACTGAACCTACAATCGGAGCGACGGATGATCACCTTGTCGCTTATCGCGACGAAGAGCAATTAAGACCTTAGTCACCGGAAGTTGGCGACCGTATGCAGCGTAGACTTTGTCAATAGCAACATCACTAGTGAATCCTGCGCGAACAAACCCAGACCAGAAAATATTGAGGCAAGAGTAAGCAAATTTACAGGCTCCACGCTCAACTCTTTCGCAAGCTTTAAGCCGTTCAAACCGAACTCGTATTCACCCCACAACTCGTACAAATCCTTAGATCTCTTTGACACCACCGCGTGATGAACTTCACGAACAGCAGTTTCCTATGTGTCTACTTTGGTAACTATGACAGGTCTGGGCGATACTCTCCGTGCAACTGGTTGTAGAGCAATACGCCGCAGTGCGGCAAGGCGCGTACAGCCGAAACCAAATATTTTAGCGTGCCTTTGTCATTTTTCGACCGAGATAGTTTGAGTAGTCTGATAAATTCTTCATAGTCGACCGGTCGTCTCGCTGCGGACTGCACTCCTTCTCGCCGAATTTCGCTGCGTTTCACCTTCTTTATTACAGCATTTACTAGGTCAGAGCGGGTTGGGTTGCCTTCATTGCGTATGGGATCCCATGGTACTGTGCACCGTGGCATGAATGATGAAGGGTCCTTCTTAGCATAATCTAAGGTAGACGCCCTGGCATTCACTGGTTTGGCGTCCTCCGCAGGATTCTCTTCCCCAAACGCACGCAAATTCATCCAACGGCACACATCGTCCGGGGTGATCTCCAATAGTTTGCTCTTGTTGGAGACAGTGTCGGTGTTAAAGGGACGATCTACTTTTAAAAAAAGCAAAAGAGCGATATCCAAAGACATCAAGCGCTCGAGGCCGGTCGTGAGCGCGTTCCTGGTCGACCCTGCGGCCTACAACACCATCAAAAGGCCAGGGCCAGCGAAGAAACTAACCCCTACAGCTGAGCGACGGCTGCTTCGAGAAGCCTCTCGCGGGAAATTAAGCTCCGCTAAGCTTAAAAAGCAGCTAGAGCTCCCTATCAGTGAGCGCAGAATTCGTGAGATTCTTCGCGCCAGCCCCATCTATAAGTACGAGAAGCGCATGGCGTCGCCCGTGCTGACCGAGAAGCACAAGGAGGCACGCCTTATTTGGGCTCGAGAGAAGGTGACTTGGGATGCTGAAAAGTGGTCCAAAGTCGTCTTTTCTGACGAAAAAAGTTCAATCTGGATGGTCCCGATGGCCTCCAGTACTACTGGCATGATCTACGGTTCGAACCGCAGATGTACTCCCGTCGTCAAAACGGAGGTGGAAGGGGGCATTTTGTGCTCAGGGGAAGAGCGAGTTGGTGGTTTTAGAGTGCACACAGGACAGTGAACGCTACATCTATACGTTGTCCGAGCATCTGCTGCCCTACATCGATCGAATCTATGGCCGAGGTTGCGTTTTTCCAACACGACAACGCCTCCATTCACTCTTCTGGGGCTACCAAACCCTTCCTCGAGGAGGAAAATGTGACGGCAATGACGTGGCCAGCGAAGTCCCCAGACCTTAACCCCATTAAGAATCTGTGGGGAGTTCTAGCGCGCGCTGTTTACGCCGATGGACGCCAGTTTCAGACTCGAGATTCTCTAATTGCTACGATCAAGAAATGTTGGGGGGATATCTCGCTGAGCTACACGACGAAGCTTCTCAACTCTATGCCCAAGAGGTGTGTGTCCGTCCTAGAGCTCCACGGAGCTAAGTCCAAGTATTGATTACGTTTCAGCGCCATTAGTGACGAGCTCTAACAAATAAAACCCAAGTGGCAGTATAGCCACCGCCATAGATGTTGAAGTTGAAGTTATTGTTTTTGGTATAACTTGGCATTAACCTATTCAAATTGACTACTTCCACCACCATTCGATTCGTATTGACGCGGTCTTTCAATTAGCTAAAACAGGTTCGTCTAGAGCAGCTTATTGGATGGAATACAGAGAAAAAGGGGGGGGGGGCAGTATATCCACCGCCAGCACTGTACGTCCTTTGCGGAAGTATCGCTTTTACGGTGACTGGAACGGTAACCCGATCGCGCTATCCGCTAATCAGATTTTGATCAGTGTGAAAATACAACCTTGGTTGCAAATGGCCGGTTGTGTACGGGCATGTGGACACTGCACAAAAAAATACAAAAAATCAGCATTTCTTGTATCGAAAGGAATTCTCCCAAGTGGCAAAAAAAATAAGAATGTATGTCAATCAACTCTATTGAAAATGCATGGAAATTATCTACGGAAGCGGCCACGTCCTGCAGGATTCGAGAGTTTCAGGTCACCAACGCCACGTTTCTTCCGTCGCTTTCCATTGCCAAACGCCGCATCGCCATCATCCGCATCGCCGCCTTCGCGCTCGCGTGCACGCTGTTGTTTGCGTAGGTCAGCCTGCGGAATGAAGGACATCTCGCGGATGTAGCCTCCACCCGCAGTCTCCTCCTTCTTGAAGGCACTGCGTTCCTTCTCAGTGACACGCTGCATTTTCAACCGCTCTGAGAGTGGCAACTTGGCTAACTGTTTCTTCTCGCGCTGAGCAGCACGGTCGCTTGAGGAACCGAAAGACATGAGGTCACCCACCTTCTCGCCTTCTGCGATCTCGTAGAACTTGGGTGCAGGTTTCCGCTTAGTCTTCGGAGCAGCGCGCTTCGGTTCCTCAATTTCTTCTTCATCTGATGAGGACTCGTCACTCGGTCTGCCTTCAATCTCTTCCTCTTCACTGTCGTCCACACGGGCAAAGCGACCACCCACTTCGTCTTCTTCTTCGTCGTCTGTACCAGCATCACTATCCATGTCTTCCTGCTTGCGCTGCTTAGTGTTAGCAGCGTTCGGGTGCAGCATACGGAACGTGTCGCTCTCCTCATCCACTTCGAAGTCCGAAGACGTGAACATACGTGAGAAACGTTCGTCGCCAAGTGGATTCGAGAAGTTTTTGTCGGTGTCTTCCTCCTCGTCGCCCTCCTTGTTGTGCTTTTTCCGCTTGGCTTCGTTCTGCAGGATACGCTCGGCCGTAGCACGGTTAACCTTGGGCAGCCGACGCTGGATGGTGATACGGTTGGACTGTTTGGCTTCAACCTTCTCTTTGAGTTTCTTCTTACGCCACTCGTCGTACGCGAACGGCTCGGCCACAGCCTTGACCTTGTTATACAGACGAGCGTCCATGAAGAAACCGTGCATGTAGGCCTTGAGTAGCGGAGTGCCCACCAAGTGATCGAGACCGAACGACGCGATCTCAGCACGCGTGACGAAGCGGTAGTCATCGTATACTGTGGCCTGTGCCTCCTCTTCCAGCTCCTCCGTTAGTGAGTCCAAGAACGAACACCATTTCGGAGCGATACCCAGTTCCGGGATGTAGTAGCTCATCACACGTTCCTGTTCACCAGCTACCAATAACACACCCGACTTGCCCTGTGCTCCTTCTACAATACACACGTCCTTGACCTCCGCAGGCGTTTCCACGTTCGTGAACACAGCACCGTCACGACGGTCCCAGATCTTAATCACCTTGGCATCTGACGAAATGACCTTGCGAGCGTAGTCGTGGAACTGCAGATTCACAATGGGCAGGCCGTACTGGTGGTTCTTCTCCAACAGAGGACGCGACGAACGCAGATCGTACAACAGACACTGTCCCTCGGAAGTTCCGACGCCAAACGTCAGTCCGTCGTCGTCAAATCTTAATGCTGTAACTTCCAGAGGCTTGGCTGAGTTGGTTGCGCAATGTGCTGCGATGTCCAGACTACCAACGCGTTGCTGATTCCTCGAGTCGAACATCTCGACGACTCCGTCTTCACAGCCGACGCCCACAAGCTGATGGATGGGGTTTAATTGCACCACATTGGCAGCTGAGGACTGCGACTGCAGCTCCAGTGGAGCCACGAAGCGACCCTGGTCCAGGTTAATACGATACACGTCGGAACCCGATGCTGCCACGTACAACTCGCAGTTCTCACGGTGGTACGTCATATCCCGACCGAATTTAGGAATACGCATGTTGTAATGCGTGCCGTACGGTGCGTGGAAAGCCACGGAGCGGTCTGCCTGCAGAAATGCGAGCTTGCCAAAGTCGGCGGATAGAACTTCGAGTTGTACCACTTCGGCGTCCAAACCGCGTTCAAACTTGAGACTCAGGTCGCGCACATCAAAAACCTTGACGGAAGGAGGGTACATGCCCGTTGCCACCACGTAATTGCCGTCCGAGGACATGCGGATGCGCTGGGAACTAGCAGGGAAGTGGAAGTCCTGCAACAACTCTACACGACGACGGTAGTCCTCATCCTTGGCCAACGCCTTGCGACTGCCACCTTTCTCAGCTAGCCATTGGGGCAGAGTCTTGCCGGACGACAAGTTGTAGATCTTGACGCCATTGAGCGAGGAAGCCGCCAGCGCAGCCATGATGCCCGCACGAAGACTCTGGAATGGTCGACTGGCACCAGCCAATAGTACTGGCAGTTATGATTGGCTAGTTGAGAAGGCTAAATCAGTACACCAAATTTGGATTTTACATGTAGAAAATTTATTTTCATTGCCGATTTTTTAATGCTAAATTATTCTTAATTATTATAAAATTATTTAAAGTAATTAATATTGGTAAAGAGTACTATTAATAAAAATTTAAAAGGTTGTCAGTAGAGAATACTATTCTTAAAAATATATTAAAAAATCTGCAATGCTCTTTGATTGAATGAATCACTTTCCGACAAGCGCAGATGGATTAACGGCGCATCGATAATATGCATGCGCCTTTCGGGTATATTAGAACACTTCAAAACGTTTTTGATGATGTATCATGTACTGTAACATAAACGACAGCTGGAAGTCTTTAAGTCATGCTCCATAATGGAGTCAATTTCGCCGTACGTGCTATGTGAGTGCCCGATCCAGACTACTGTGTGGCGAACAGGATCATGTCGTACAGGGGAGGGGCTGAGGAGGGCTGTACTTTATAATGTACACTAGCAAATCCATCAACCACCCGGAACGGAATAATGAAGGCTCTTATCCGACTTTGCAACTCGGCAAACATGGACTGGTTGAGTTGCTTTTCGCGGTGAAAACTTCAACGAATTTCCTATGTAGTGCTGAGGCCTTCCTCCATCAGAAGATGACGGATCGGCGATTTCTACATCATCAGAGGACTCTTCCGCTGCACCAGCTGTTTTTAGAATCTGCGTTTTACCAGGTTTATCGGGGGATGGCAGGTATGGGTCCCCTACCAAGTATTATATCCTTTCGTAAACGGGCACTTTTGCGCTGGCTATATTATACAATAGAAGACCAAATCATTAAGCCGTCAAAAGGGGAGATTTGCCCCTTTCACAAACTACGGTACTACAACAAACCTTCCGCAAATCCTTGTAGTTCAAGTAGATTGGGCAATTCCACACACCTAATTTAATGAGAGTCTGGTACGAGAGCATATAACTTTCTAGCCGGCACTATACACTTTTTGGAGAACGATAGACACAAATTGACACGACCGAACCCTTTCGCCCAGAATTGACCGCTGGCATACACTTTTCTGGTGACTAGCAAATACATAGGGAAAGTGCGTGGATACGCACCTCTTTTACGTATGCACGCACGTTTTGCATGAGCATTGCACAAAATGGACGAAACGCGCACAATAACCGGACTTGTCGACGCTGCAGCGGTGCATAATTACGTGATTGTCCAATATTGGGAGCCGTTGCAGCGACGCATAATAAATAACCTGACTCTGTCAATTAATTGTGCGCATGCGCTCCGTGGCACCGATCGCATAAGAGTGTGTCTAACACAAGTGATTTAGGGAAGATATTAAATTCAATAGTAAGAGCACAAAACCATGAACATAGCAGATATAAAAGGATATTGTATGTAAAATACGGGGTTAGAACTGTATGCCGCTCCCCCATCTATGCGTGTAGGTCATTTAAAAACATCCACCTCAAGCCCAGCTACTCTTTGGCCTCTGACCATTACCTAACAATCTGCAC